AAAGAGGAGAATAAACTATTAAAATATTACCTCATGCATTAAAAGTTTATATACTGCCATTTCATGAATGTGACTGAGAAAAGATGACTCCCTTTTCTGTGTTTTTTTTTTTCTCTTTTAAAACAAAAGATGATTCAGAATTTCCAGTTATCAAGCCCAGCCAGAGAGTTGTTCTACCAGCCTCTCCCTTTTTTTCTCTATCTCAACAATATTTAAGTAACATTCCTATAATGTCGATACATGGGTAGACTCTAATCCAGTGTGGCAAGTGTCCTTATAAGAAGAGGGAGAGATAGTAGGGATATGTGTGCACAGAGAGAAAGCATGTGAGGACACAGCAAGAAGGTGGCAATCAGCAAGCCAAAAAGAAAGGCCTCAGGAGGAATCAAACCTGTCGGCACCTTGATCTTAAATTTTTAGGCTCCAGAACTGCGAGAAAATAAATTTCTCTTTAAGTCACCCTGTGTTTGGTATTTTGTTAGGGCAGCCCTAGCAAACTAATACTTTCACATAAAGTACATACCAGCCAAACTTTATACGAAGATTCAGAAAAGAATTGTGATTATATTCTAGGTCTTCTGAGTCATCTTAAAGCCACATCACCAAGTAATGATTGCATATCTACTATGAGTGAGACACTGTCTCAGAAGTTATTTGTTGATTTTTCTTCCAGAACACTTGATGTATCATTTCAATTCCTGTTATATATTTGCCAAAACTGTGATCCAGGAAATTTAAGAGCTCGAGCCAAGGTCAGAGATAATAACGGATAATGCCAGGGATCAAAGTAAAGTTTTCGGAACTCAAGTCTGGCGATATTTCCACTAAAGCACACCTTTTCTTTCAATTATACAGCCATCCTTTACAAAGACAAATAGACTGGTGAAAGGGTGATTTTTTTTTTTTAATAAGGCACATCAGATGCTTCTTGCTGTGATCTGCTTCCTGAGAAGACATTCAGATCAATATTGTGTGAATTATATGCCTGTACTAAGACAACAGAATGTGTACATTTTAGAATCAAGATGCATGGTTACGATAACCGAAAAATAGAAATAAATTTTAAAATTCTGAATCTAGCATTTCATAGCACATTCACACTCATTTAAATAGCTATGTTGTATATAAAAAATAAAAAATGAAAGTCAGACACTGTGATAATTTCGTAAACACATTATTTTGACCTGCGGGTTCAAATGTTATGTTATTCTTTCTTCTTGGGATTGTTTTTGCCTATTAATAGTTTTGTTGTTTGGCTCTATTATTAGGCATTGTATTGTTAGGATGCCATTAAACAGGTCTGTAAGATTCCAGTTTTCTTTGTTATGTCTCATAAATAAACTCACCTTCCTTTGTTAATGAAATGACAAGACTACTTTTGTGAGGAATATTCACTGTAATCAGACTGAGTATATTCAAGGCATAATTAAAGCATTCTTTTTGATTTCATGGAACATCTTTACTTGGATTTCAAATTGTTTAACTTTATGTATTCAAAGTTATTTAAATAACTCTACTGAGATTAATAAGAAGCAATGATCTCCTGCTTTTATAAAGAAAAGAAAAAACTTATTCAAAATTTAAACTTGTTGTCAGAGTTCTAGAAATTATCCTCAACTTTTATCATTATGATTCAGGGAGGAGAGAGGCAGGGAAAGATGGAAGGGAGTAAGGGAGGGAAGGAGAGAGGGAGGAAGGAACAGAAGGAGGAAAGAATAAGGAGGGAAGATCTCTTATTTTATTAAGTATGCTTAATATAGATATACTTTTATTGTACTTTAAGCCAATTTATCGTTGTGATCTGTGGGGTTATTCTGTTTTCACAAATGAAGTGGTCATGGCATAAAATGACTAATTAGTAGCTTATTTTATTTACCGATGCATTTTTTAAAGCAATTCTGTCCACCTTGCTTCTTTTTTTAAAACAATAGCTTTTTATTTATTTTCTTAGAGATAAAGGAAGGAAGATGGAGAGAGAGGAAGAGAGATAAACATTGATGTGAGAGAGAAACATTGATTGGGAGACCCCCATAGGCACCCAATCAGGAATTGAACTGGTAACTTTGGTATGTGCCCTGATCTGAAATCAAACCTGCCACCTTTTGGTAAATGGGATGATGCTCCAACCAACTGAATCACACCAGCCAGGGCTTCATAGCAGATTTTAGACTAAAAAAATGTATCCTTATAATTTATTTTTCTGTGCTTTCCCCATTAAATCATGCTGCTTTGAAATAATGAAATAGTGTGATTTTGCACATTTTTTCTATTTTTTTTTAATTCATATTATTCAACAACCTTTGCAATGTTTGGTGCATGAAAGAAACCTAACCTTTAAGAAAAATATTTAAAAATATGATGCTATTTTTCCAACTGTAGCTTTAAAATATTGAGAGCACTGTATTTTATATCTCTGCTCCTTAGCTTTTCTATGCATGGAGGATCCACTTATGTAGTATGGATCCATTATTTTATGCTCTAGGTTGAGAACATAATGATAGAGTGGGAACAAAAAGTATAAATCTAAATCCTCTCATTTTGAGGTAGAGGGTTTTGAGGTTGGGATTAAAAAAGAAAAAAACACACACACAGTGGTCTGGGCTCTGTTCCTCTGTCAAGATGTTTCATGAATTGTAAACATTACAGGTTATTCATCTTTAACAATTTCTCTAATATGATTTCATCACTTTTTAGCAAATATTGGGAGGAGTATATATAATTTCTATTAGTAAATATATTGCTAATATTATCAAGTGGTTGCATTTGTCTTTCAATCTGTAGATGTTCTGTTGCTTTTAAACCAAACACATCATGTTTG